AGGAGGGGGGGGAAAGGGAGGGAGGGGGGGAGCAGGACTGAGAGACGCCTGGCAGGCAGCAGCGGGCAGAGAAGCTGGTGTACCTGGATCCCGCAGGATGTTGCTCCCCAGCTGTCCTGCAGCTGACAGGGGGCTGCTGACCACGTTCCCTAACGCCAGGCTCTACTTGATGAGCCAGGCAGCAACCCCCCCGCTGGGCAAGAGGTGGGAGGCCAGCACACATCAGCCCCTGGCCGGCCGCTGGCTAGCTGCAGGAGCGCACTATTTACAGCACCAGAGCCACAGTCCTGCTGTCTTCTCCTCCCCCAGAGCCCTGGGAAGCAAGCTTATGACGCGTGGGTTCACGGCAAGTCATCCACCCCTCCTCTTGGGGCAAGCACCGCGGTGGCCCGGCTCCAGCCGCTGCCTCCGCGTCAAAGGAAAGGAAGAGAGAAGCTCGCCGCGCCAGCCAGATGCAGAGCCAGGAGTAAGGATGTGCTGGCAGGGAAGAAAGCTGTCCCCGGGCTACCTGCGGCTGAGTAGCAAGTCTTAAGAGGGATTGAAACAACTGGATCAGTTTTTATTCAGCTCACTCACCTAAACAGACGTGTAAACAAGAAGTGACAAGGAACTGGAGGGACATGGTGTGCGCACCCCGTGTCACGCACCGCTTGGGTGGAGGCTGAGCTATGTCTGCCCTTCCAGACATCTGCACTACCCCCTGCCTGGGGGTGCGGGCAGAGATGCCAGCCAAGCCTCCTGGAGAGACAGGGATCTTTACAGATTGTTTTTATTGATTTTCTTTTTGAAGCTGTGGTATCAGCATTTGCTGGTGTGGCGATCCCCGGAGGCGTGCTGCATTGCTACAGAGCAGCCCTTTGGCTGGGCGGGATGGTCCGACAGGCCGGCAGCCAGCTGGCGTGCCCAGTTTGTTACGGAAGAGGTCACCTGTTCCTGGTTCTCTGTAAACCTGAGCTGTTTCTTCCCCGGTCCCCCAGCTCCCCCAGCAGTCATTGCGGAGGAAGAGGGATGCCCCGCGGGTCAGTGACTTGACCCTCTTGCAGGTTCTTGACAAGCTGAGCCAGCCAGCGCTTTGTGGTGGTGTCATCCTTCAGGACCTGAGCGAAGGTGGTGTCCTTCAGTTGGTCAGGAAGGCACTGCCTGAGAGCTTCACGTGCCCTACATCAAGAGACAAGAAACGGGGCCCAACAAATAAACTCACAGGGGCAAGAGGGGAGCAAACCCCACGGGGACATGACGCTCCTTTTGCTTGGGGGTCTCCCTGGCAGGGCCAGCCAAGGAAAGCACCGAGCAGCAGCACACGGCGCTCGGCCAGCCAGCCCAGCTCCCATCCCTCACACTGGACCCCACCGAGCCGAGTCCTGTGCCCTGACACCCATCAGTCAAGAGCAAGGCGATGCCAGGAGAGGCTGAGACAACAAATAGGTACCCAGCGGCTCTGGGCAGAGCTGCTGATCAGCCGAGGGAATACAAACCGATTTCAAGCTGAATTGCATCTATTGACTTCTACTGCCAACAGCTCTCACGATGCAGAAGAGGGAGGGAGAGCACAGAGTACTTTCCACACCTCGGTCCCTCCCTCATACCTAGTCCAAGCCACATTTGAGTTCAGGTGGTCATAACCTGAACAGCTGGAATATGCACAAGCCCCAAACCGTCACTGTTTCTCCCACGTACCATAAAAGCTCCTGGGACTAGCAATAAAAAAAAAAACCCTAACAAATCAAAAAACCCACCCATTTTCCACACTGAGCTAAGGCTGACAGAAGGACAGGCAAGAAACCTTGACTCTCCCCCAGGGCAGGCACTGTGGAGAATTGCACTTCCAAGGCAGCGGGAGAAGTCCCTGCCCAGACTCCTAAAATGTTTACCTGGGGTTATCGGAAAGGCGAAGGTAGCAGCGGACGACATGTTTCAGCAGCCGTGCCGATGGCTCCTTGGAGAGCTGCAGGACCATTTTACCCTGTTTGACAAGAGGCCAGCGCCACCAGTTAAAGTCTTTGTAAGAACAGCTTCACAATCAGCAGAGACTGGGAAAGACCATTAAATCAGTCACCCTGGCTTCCCACGCATCACAGCCCATTACCTTTCATCCAGATACTCCTGCACGGAGCCTGGTGCTCTGCTCGCCAAGATGCCTTTGAGAAGAGCAGCTAACCAGGACTTGGAAAGGATTCTCCTACCAGCTCTGGGAAAGCTTGTTTCATCTCTACTTGGTTTTTACCTCCCCAGGACTGTTTAGTGGGGACTAAAGAGAACCTGGGGTTTCCTCCTTGTGGAGGAAGGCAAATATATCCCAAACCCTTCGATAAGCTCAGGCTGAGTCACCCCGTGAGGTGTGTTTCGAAGCTCTGCAACACTCCCTGTTCTCATCTGCACTGCCTTCATTTCAATGCCCTTCTAAAACGTTAACTACAGCCTGGGAAGACAGGCCGAAGGACTGGGCTCACCCACACCACATGGATAGTAAGGTCCACATCTGGTCTTATCACACACCCAAAAGCTGTATTTTCTTTTTGTGCTACATCCCTCATTAAGCCATTACTGGGAAGGGAGACCAGGGCAGATCCCCCCGGCACAGCCTCCCCTTCCTCACACTATGTAAGACTTTGCACATGGTTGCACCTTTGAATGCTTAGCGAACAGTGTGGACACCTTCACACACCCACTTTGAAGGACTTCCTCACGTTTAGGAGTTAATCTGGTCTGCCCAACAAGTTGGACGTTTTTCCCTGTAAAATCATACTGGCTAGCACTAATTGTTTTCTTCATTAGCCAAATTCACCTGTATTTGGATATTCGGGCAGTCAGCAATAAGCAGGGTCCCCTCAACTGCCCTTGTGCAAGCTTCCTGTTCTCAGCAATTCCCAGGAAACCAATACATCTTCGAAACACAGAACAAGAAGCCAGAGAGCTCCTCAGACAGCTCTTAGATGGGCATTACTAACTTGCTCTTTTAAAAGCATCTAATACTTGCATAACATCTTACTCCATTATCAGCAGACATGGAAGTAAATCATTGCCTCTAAGAGACAGGAGTACGCTATCCCAATTTTTTGAAACAGAACAGAAATATCTATGAACATTTTCATTTTTCTCTGTAGCATTATGGAATATTAATCATGTCAGTGCTTCACCCACTGGTGGGATTATACCACAGCTAGGATTTCTCCTGTGCTAACACAGCTTTACAGGCCCACATCCTTCCATGTTTGTACCCTTCCCAGCCACAGATTCTTCCTTGGTCTCCCCTTCCCTCCCTTCCCCTACCCCAGGGTTTCTACTCGCATCCTTCATTTGCCCCCAAACCAGATGTACTTTCATCAAAGCCGATTCTTTTCTTGAATGCAAAAATCATGTCACATTGGATATTATGGACATCAGCTCATAATCATTCATATTTTGCTGTTTGTGGGTGAATTAGGAGGTAACATCTTCTTTACGTTTGGGAAAACAGACAGACAAATAATTATTCCCAATGAAAGCAGCGACGTTTAGGCACAGAACCAGCACTGCAAAGCGCTTAACTTAATGCTGCATTTTCTTCTCCTGAGACTGCTCTTTAAAAAGCAAACAAGCAATCACTAGAAACAGAAGGAAGACAATAGCTATTCCAGGGCAGATATTATTTCCCCTCGGTGAGCTCAAAGATAACAAAGCACAAGTTGGGACTATTACTCCCTGGGACGAACAAACTGTGAGCACTCAAACTTCTCCTTCACAGGGGACAGGGAATGAACAAAAATTGTCTGCTCTCTCTGTGTTCCAACACAAGAATTAAGAGTCATAAGTAGCAGCTAGCAGGAGCCAGGTTCAAAGAGGAAAAAAAGGAGGTTGGCCTTCCAGGCAGCAAACAGAAAACCCGTGAAACTCCTTGGTAAAGGACTCTGTGAATGCAAAAAATTTCTGTGTGTTCAAAGGGAGGACAGGACAAGCACTGGGGGTTACTGCATAGAAAACCAACAGAAATCCAAAGCTGAAAACAGCCGGCAGCTGTGAGACTGTTACAAGAGCAAATATCACAAATGCTTGCCCTGCTCTTACTCCTTCGCTCAACCTGCTGCTCTTTCAACCTGCTGTGGGAGACAGAGATGGGAAATGGATCCATGGTCTGAGCCGTGTGATCATTCTTACATAAAATTAAATCAATTCACATCAAATTAACAATGCTGAAAACTCTCTCTCTTCTCTGGAGATGTTTACTCACTTTACCTTGGGGACTAAGTACATTACAACTAACATGTTCTCTTGGCATGCAAATCAGAGATATACATAAGAAACAAGTGGGAGCAGAGAGCTACAGTGTCGCAAGCAGTAAGCCCAAGAACAATTTGCCCCTCTCATCCTCTGCTCCAGCTAGAGAGCAGTGAAGTAGCTGCTTAAAAAAAGTGGCTGCTGGAGCACAGTTTTGTCTTTTTTTTTTTTAAAGAGAGTAAAAAAATCTTACCAGTATCATGGCAACATGGGAAAACCGCTCGTAAGTCTGACAGATATATGCCAGCCCTGTGTCATCCAGGAGGATTTTCTGAAGAATAAAAGTAGCAACCTAGAATGGGGAGAAAGCAGAAAAGAAAGCATATAAACAACTTATCTAACCTGAAAAGGGACAGCCTTTGTGCTGTGTTCTTTTCAAGGCAGTCCCAGAGCTGAAAGGCCTTTCAGCAGGCAGTAAATGCTCTACTCAGGAAAAGTTTAAAGCCAAAAGAAAACGCAGGACACCACACAATGCTTGGCATCTCTGGCTAGAGAGACGGACACAAAGCAGCGTGTACAAGACGACTGGATGCAGGTTGCATAAGACAGCAACTACTGCCAGACCACTCAGGACAGACTCAGGATCACGGGCACACTACTCTAGTCAAGGAGCAAGAAGCAGGAGAAGGATCTGTCCCTTGGTCCTGCCATCTAGCTGGAAAGTGGATTCTGGTTTTCATCTTAAGCGTTACATCATGAGATACATGAAAGTTACTCTGCAGAGGAGGGAACGGGTGTTGAAAGCAGCAATATCTCTCCCAGCTAAACTACCAGGCTCAGGAACTCCAGCTTAGTTTGGTGGGTTTTTTGAGGAGGTAAAAACTGCACCCAGAGTGGCCCCAGCATTTACAACAGAACACAAGCCAACTCTGCAGGCTACTGGCTGCCTGGTCAGTCAGAGATAAATAACAAGTCTTAATTAAGACAAAAAGAGTAGGTACCGTTTTGGAGAGCTCACTGCCAGACTCCATAATGCGTAAGCACAGGGGGATGATTTCTGTCGTCAACAAGAAATTTATCACTTCTTGCTCATCAGTTTTCACCAAGGCCCCTTGAAGGAGAAACAAAGAGCAAAATCAATAAACGATAAATTGTTTCCAAAAAATCTCACCATTCAAAGAGGGCCTATGCTGTGTCCTCCCTGGGAATCATTAAGTCGATGCAGAGCAACCATCATCCTAAATATGCTGCAGCCCATGGCCGGAGAAGCAATCATTTTGGCAGCATAAAAGTAATGAAGCTGGGTTTGGGGGTTGTTTGTTTTTCAGAAAGGGGACACATTCTTGGCTCTTCCCCAGTGGTAAAAAGAACACAAGAGGATCATGTCACCCACAGCAACCTCCGGGAAAAAGAAATGCATTTTAAGACCCTCTTTTATGCATTGAGAGAGAAATGTTTTGAGCAGAAAGAAGAAAAAAAAAAAAGTATAAGGGGAAGACAGGGAAAATACACCCAAATCAATCAGTGACAAAAACCCAAAGACAGCCCAGTCTGCACCCGCCCATTCCAGTGTCTAGCTGGCTGCACTGAGAGGGAAGGCTCAATAAGTCTGTAGGCACTTGTAGTCACAGGAAACATATTTTTGGCAATGCACCCAGACTTCAGTGTTTTGTTATTAGTGAAAAGCCCAGCTCCTACACTCAGAGGAACCTGCCTCCACAACTGATGGAAAAGGAGCAGCCCCTCCTGTTAATACTACAGGATTCAGAAGACCCCAGTAAAAAGAGACCTGTCATTTTGGTCGAGCAGGTGTCTATACCCACAGTGTGAACTGCATCCAACTTGATAAGAAACAAATGCTCCAGCGTTAGTTCAGCCACTTACCGATCACTCCGAGGCTCGTGAGCCGCAGGTACTCAAAGGGACGGGTCTTGCTAACTGTGTGCAAGAAGGGGTACAGGAAGAGGGGGATATGAGCTGCCAGAAAAGCTGACCTGTAGGAAAAGGAGAACACCCAAAATGAGAGACAAGGAACACAAAGCAAGCACACAATTCAGCATTACTGTGCAGAGCATTAGACTGCTCCTGACAGACACCATTGCTGCTGCTCCTCAAAAAAGGGTAACGGTTCGTTCTCTGATGGAGAGGTGTAAAGTAAATTTTGCCCTGGCTGCAGCACAGAACCTAAACTGTCAGTTACCTGCATCACTGCTTCCAGCTGACCAGGAACAGAGCACATCCTGTTGTTTTTATTACCTCTTCCTGCCACCAAGACCCTCTGCCTTGCACATTCACTGCTGCATTTCACCTTGCAGGCTCCCGTGGGCAGGGACAGTCAGCCACAATGCATGTGCAAAGCACCTGCAGGACAAATCCAGACCGGCTGATCCCTAGGCACAGTTTAAATGTACACAGCCACCTTTTCCCCAGGAGTCCTCACACTGCCTTCTGACCTGAAAAATACAGACTGCAGGGAGAAGCCTGGAGACTGTTTTGCCAGCAGAGGGAAGCTCTCTTGCGCAATCATCCAACATTCTTCCTCCGTTTTCAGTTTTCAAACTTTAAACGTAAAGGTGTGTGGCGTAAAATTACTCTATTTCTTTGGATGTCACCTCACGGAAGGTAGCTGTTTAACACTACTTTGCAGCAGCTGAAAAAAAAACTTACGCTATGCAGCACTTTCTTCTCAGTGGGAACAGAAGCATGAGATCATGGATCTCTGGGTAGTTTTCTTCTGAGTTTTAGCTAATGATTTTGGCTGAACTAACATCATCTTTTCCCTGGTGACATGGGCTGGACACAGAAAAAACTGAGTCAGACACTGGCTGATGACTCCACACATGGCTCTGCTACTGCTCCCTTGCCACACACAATCTCTGGGAAGGACAGTCCTGCTCATTCCACTCTTTGGACAGCTGGTCTAAATAGCTGTAAGCTGCTGGTCTAGATAACTGTAAGCTCATTAAAACAAGGATCCTGCATGCAGCACTCAGCACAAAGGCACCCTTATCTCTGGCTAAGCTCCCAGGAGCTGCCACAACCCAATGTTTTAGGAATTTGCAGGATCTCAGGATGATCCAGGGAATGCAATGCATTTAGGATCACCATAAAGCTGTCATCCTGATAATCCGTGAAAGCAGCAAGCAGCTGCCTATCTTCCAGCTCTATCCTCTGTTCCACTTCTCTTGGTAAAAAAGAAGAGAGGAGCTTACGTGCTTCTGGAGTCAAACGGACAGGCTGAGATGCCAAAATCAACACCTTAGAAAACTCATGCACTTGGAAACGCTTACCTCGTCTCAGGATGCGATGCAACACACTGTAATAGAGCTAGAGCATTGCATACTCTGTTGGACTGATGGGCTGTCAAAGTCGGAGGGTTGATCGATGGATAAATATTTACAATTTCCTAAAAATTAGCACATGAAGAAAAGTTAAAGGAGAAAACCACCAGAAAGCTGCACCAAAGCACTTGCCCAACAAGGAACTATGACGACAGGAGATGATAGTGTGCTTCCACCAAGCATCACTTTGAAATTACATGGCAGCTACCACGCTTCCCAGGCAAGGGCAGAGCTGGGTCAGAGTCCATTTGACAAGGAGTCACAAGAATACATTCTAACCTTAATTTCAGTAAAAAAGGGGTTCATTTGATTTCCTGGCTCTTTACTAGTATAGGAACTGCTTTGTTTTGAACTTCCAAATTGAAGAGGAGTGTAGTTCCTGTGCCTAGAGGCAGAGCACACCCACTCCATTCATAATGTAGCTGCGGGTACTCTTCTAACTCAATGTAAGGGAAGCAGCTGAGGGCGAGAAATCTGATTCAGAAATCTGCCTGCTTCCAACTATAGCTCCCTTCTAATTTTCTTCACTTGTTTCAGGGCCACTCCGAGAACAGCCTGACATTGCCAATCTTGCATGCTTCTTTCCTTCTGCGAAAGAAATTACCAGATTTGCCACTGAGAGACAGCCAGTCATCAGCTGTAGAGTAGTTTCCCCGCTCGGTTTAACATGAAAAGCAGGTACGTTCCATTGCAAGGATCTCTGAAGCAGTGAGCAGTGCTCCATTCCCCTGCTTCCTCCCCTGCCCTTCCAGCAGGCTCCCTGCAAGGGCAACCTTCTGACCAGGAAGTGCTCAGGCTTTTGCAAAACAAATCAAACCTTAGAGATCTTAGAAGTAAGACTGTTGTGGCTCTGCTATGACATTGTATGAAAATAAGCAGAATGTGATCCACAGGAAACTCATGCACCCAAGAACTTGCCTGCTACCCTTCCAACGATGCAAGCTAATTAGAAATCTTACAGTCTCTGCACACATCACCTTGCTAGTGACGATTAATGGCAAATGGGCTCCCCACATCTGCTCCCCTCACCAAATGATCCAACATACATCATACTCCCAGCAATGGTAACAGAGGAACCCACCAGTGCCTCCCCAGATCTGCCCCATGGATGCACAAGCTCTGCAATGTGCTGGTGCTGCACCTTGGAATAAAGATGCTGCCAGTCCTACCCACCTGAAGGAGCGCTGCGATTGTGCCAAAGGAGTGCCACAGCATCGGGGCAAGGTCAGCCACAGACTCACGCTTCTTGCTCAGCTCCAGCAGCGCATTCTCCCGCGTCTCAGGGCTGGACAACTCATTGATCCACTGGTAGATCTTTTCACGGTCAACCTGAGCCAGCGCTGGTGGCACAGGCTGGGAGGGAGACAAGAAAACTTCAGTCCAAACATTTTATTCAAATCTCACCCAAACCCTTTCCACAACCTGGCAGATAAACAAAAAAGTGCTCAAGAAACTCCTGACTGGGGGAGGGAGGAACTAAAGCTGCATTAAGATGCTCTGGATATGGATCCCCTCCTTAGATTAGTCTTACTATTTCACTTGTTTGAAACACAAAGCTTTTACTTTCTGTTCTGACTAATTAGGACAGTCTTTCATAATCTGCCTGTCAAGTAATACCTTGTAACTTCATTCAGCAATGTAAGAGAGCCATGTTGCTGCCTGTCTCCCAGGGAGGTCACACATACTTTAGCCAGCCATAATTTGCCCCACCTGCATTTAGCACGCATTCATTTCATGCTTCAAGCGCAAGCTTCCGCAAATTCAAAGACAGACACTACCTCTACAAAAACATCCATGACATTGGAACCTGCCAGCGGGATTCACCCAATGTACATGAGAACAATATTCATACAAATACTAGAAAAATTCTCACTACAACATCAGCATGACACCATGCACAGCCAGTGACACCTGCTGTTAGAGATGTCTATCCCATGCATCTTGTTTACAAGCATGGAGCTAAAAGGGAATTTTTCAAGACTGATTTTGTGCAAAAAAATCCTGTTAAAAATAAACCCAGAGAAGGGCAGATCTGTGTTCACAGTCAAGGTACATTTTCTGCTATTCAGGAAAAATGCATGATTTCTCTTCTACGTTTCTTGGAACATCAGGGAAAGAACAGCATCAAGGCCAACAAGTTTTCAAGCCAAAAAAACAAGGGAGGGCTGGGAAGGAAAGGAAGAGAAACAGAGACTGTGGAATTGTAGCATAGTTTCTGTGGAGAGGTCAAGGCATGAGTCCTTCAATGAAAGTTTGTCTCTCACCTCTGCTGGCAGAAGCAGCACTCAAGGTGGAAACAAACGCTCAGCAGGCTTCCCAGGGAGGCAGTTTGGTGATTCAGATAGAAAATTTTTGAGGAAGATGAACACCAACATTAAAACTTCCTGTGTGAACACTTCCAAAAGCCAGTTCAGAACTTATCCAAACATTCTGCCACAGCGTTTACTACTGAAGTAAAGCACAGCCCTGTTGGTAAGCTGCTGCTCCTGAGCTAGCCTGCACACAACCAGCTCAGCATCCCCACGCGTCCGGCAATCACAGCTGGGAATGGAGTGTACTTATTTCCCCCTTTTTTTTTTTTTTTAAACACAGACTAAAATTCTTCACGCGCTTACCACAACAGATGTGAGCGCTGCCTGCACCACACTGACAGCAACATTACTACTAAGCAGCTCATCACTGAGGCACTGAAGAGAACACAAAGGAGTTCAGGAATTGAAAGTAGCTGGAACCAAACCTGAAACCATACGCCAGAGGCAGGCTCCCAGAGGGATGAAGGGAGACTTTTTACGCTTTGGTAGACACCTCCAGAGCTTTCTGTCTCTATTTCTGCAAAAGTTTCCCTCCTTCATTCATCCACTTATTATATCCATAGTCATGTCCAAAGAGACTTTTCCCTAGCTGTGGGATTTCTCTCTCCGCTAGCCATTTCCATCATATTATTTAATTTACATGTCTATATATAACCCAATGTGTCGTTATCAATGCCTACACTCTTAGAGCTCAAATACCTTTCTAGCTGTTCATCTCTCCTCCTATCCTCTTTTTTTCCTTCTACTGTCTACTCAATTTTATTTCCACCCCCCCCAGAACTTCACACTAAATTAGTAATCCTCACAAATTTATTGTGCTCTTACAGTTGGGAGTGCAATTCCAATGGCAACTCCAACACTGGAGCTGAGAAAGAGGGAGACAGTGAACACATCTCATTTGTTTTCATTTGGGATGGTGGAGTGACAAGCAGTGTAGCAATAATGTTGTTGTAATTGCGTTATCTAAAGCTTCCATCTATTTTTCTAGACTCACTGGAAGTTTCCGTTCCTGTAAGCTTAAATACATCGACCCTTTAAAAGCACAATCATGTGTTTGTGGTCCCTAGAGAACACTAAGTAGATTTTCCACACAATTAAGTTTATGATGTCCAATATCTGTCTTAGCCAGAACCAACGGATTTTCACAGGCTCTACAGCTGCTCCTCTAAGTTCAAATTGAAAGATATATTTTTTCGTAATTTCCTACTTTATTGTTGTTCCCCCTTCTCCCTCTAAAACCTAAATTCTGGGGAACCCTGAGGGCTACACATAAATCCTGCAAGCTCCGAGACAGAATCCTACCAGGCAGACTTTTTTTTGCACATAGGGAAAGCAAAAGTTCTCAACACAGCACAAACCAGCCACCTCTGCATCATGCAAGACCTTGTAACACCTCCCTCAAGAGAAATGGCATCACCTCAAACATCCACACCCGATCACATCTATAATGAACTGGATTTAGGTAACTAGCTTTCCTCTGCCTAATTGAGCAGCTGCTGCTAGGCACATGGATAAAAGCACTGATCAACTGAAGTATTGACTAACTGGATACCTGTGCTTTTTAAATTATTTTGATAGATCAGCAACTCAAAGTGAACTCTGAGCTTCAACAGCAGTCAATTAGCTGGTTTGAGTTGGGCTTTCGATGCCTTACTGCTAGTTACAGTTACACTTATTGGTTTTAGCCTGTTCTTGAGCCCCTAGCATGTTATGCTGTCTTCTGGTCTGAAATAGAAGTGTCAGCTCTGCCACCAGCATCACTGTTGTCATGGTTTCAGCTGGGATAGAGTTAACTTTCTTACTAGCAGCTGGTACATTGCTATGTTTTAGATTTGGGACCAAAGCAATGTTGATAGCACACTGACGGTTTTGGTTGCTGCTAAGCAGTCATGGCCTCTTCTGGTCCTCACACCACCCCACCAGCGAGCAGGCTGGGGCTGCACAAGAAGCTGGAAGGGAACACAGCAGGGAGAGCTGGCCCCAACTGACTAAAGGGATGTTCCATACCATATGACGTCATGTGCAGTATATAAAGCTGAGGGAAGAAGAAGGAAGGGGAGAGGGGATGTTTGGAGTGATGGCACTTGATTTCTCAAGTAGCCTTTATGTGTGACAGAGCCCTGCTTCCTGGGGACGGCTGAACATCTGCCTGATGATGGGAAGCAGTGAATGAATTCCTTGTTTTGCTTTGCTTGCGTGCATGGCTTTTGTTCTACTGTCTTTATCTCAACCTGTATGTTTTCTCACTTTTAGTCTTCTCATTCTCTTCCCCATCCTGATGGGGGAAGACAGCGAGCAGCTGCGTAGTCCTGGCTGCTGGCTGGGGTTAAACCACAACAATTGTATAGAGACCAATGCTCTGGCTCACCACAGCTTTACCACGACAGCATTCACAACACCTAAAGGGATTCCTCAGCCAATTTATGACCCTACTAAGAAGTAATATTATTTACTGCAGCTCCCAAGCACTACTCCAGAGCCAAACACCCTTCCCTGACACCTCCAGCCTAAGCACACTAACCAACTGTGGTAGGAAACACTTCAATACAGAACTACCAGGTGGCATGAATTATGTATAAATTAACTACACATTCAAATGAACCCCCAAATAAAGTTGATTTCTATTCCTGAAACCAATAAGTTTGTTAAAATTGTCTTTAAAAAAAAGTTCTTTTTATCAAGAGGTGACTAGAACACAGAGGATTAATGGGAGATAAAACAGACCTCACACATTTCGACAAGCACTTAGTAATTACACCGCTATAAAAATGTAAATGCTGATTAAGAGAGTTCTCTATGATCTTGCATACCCTTCCATGCTCCAGAAAGTGTTACTTTAAATCAGAAGTATTTACCAGCACTCCAAGAACCAATTTAAAGTCACAAGCGCTTAAAGTGGAAAGACTTAAAAAGTTCTCTCAATTCTTGTTCATAAGTACTTTACTCACTTTTGTTAGTCCCAGCAGATCCTTGAGCTAAGGTCATTTGAAAACAGCTTTAACTGCTGGTCTTGCAATACACTTCCCAAACCCAATACACACCAGAGGCTCAATCAGCTCTAGGTCTTACACACACAATGAACATGCATTTAGAGAAATGAAAAACCAAAACAGAAGCCCACTCAGATGGCAGATAAGATGCAATAACCACACACAGTCAAACTCAGCTCCCATTTTTGAACCCAACCAGGCCAAGGCACCCTTTTCACTCCCACCAGCCTGAACACCAGGCAGCATCCCATCCCACCACGGCAGCTTTCTGAGGGGGAGGAGGGCAAGTGAGTACTACAGACGGCACTGCAAGGGTTGCGGGGGAAAGGCAAGAAGCAAGAGGCGGTTCTCTTCCTTTCCTCCCACTTGCCTGCCGCCCTGAGGAACTTTCTGCTACCTCTTCTTTCCTTCTGCAGTCAAAACCAGAAGTAAAAGAGCTCCCTAGAGAACTGAGTAGGCGGCTGTGTGCGCAAGAGATGTCCAGGAGCAGGGAGGGCAGGCAAAAGGAGAGAAAAACCCTACATGCTACACACCGGGCAGGAGGCACACAGCCCGGGCAAGCAGCAGGGAAGGCCTCCTAGACGCTGGGCGAGCCACCCCGTCCCCACGAGCAGCAGAGCGAGGCACGGCCGCCTCGGGGAAGCGCTGAGAAGTCCTGGAGGAGCGGTCGGAGCAAGGAGGCCTACCCGCTACCAGAGGCGCCCCGCCACTGAGGCGCTGAAAGGAAGGAGGCCGCAACCCCCCCACGGCCCCGCTCCCCGGCGCGGCTTACGCCACCCGGGGTCCCGTCTGCAACCCCACCCGCACCCCACCAGGGCACGGAGCCGCCCCTCACCGCAGCCGTGGCCAAGCTGTGCATGGTGGGAGCGGTGCTCGGTGCCGGGCCCGCTTCAAGAGGCCGCCGCCATCAACTCGGAGCCCGCCCTGACCCCTCACCCCGCGCGCGATGGCTGCCGGGAGAGCGGCGGGCGGGAGGGGCGGTGAGAGCGGGGGGGCACCGCGAGCGGGGGGGCACCGCGCGTGCGCGCGGGCGGGGCGGG